TGTGTGTCAAGTACAACTCTAGGTGCTGGGGATTCTGAGATATTTCCTATGTATTGTGCTTCAGCGTCAGGTACACTGAAGTTACCCCAAGTTTGTCCATCACTGTGGTCTCCAGAAAAGCTTCTGCCTCAAGAAGCACTTGGGGACCAGCAATAACTCAGGGTGGAGGACCTGCTGGGATGAGGGAGGAAAGTTTTTGCCGGAATCAGCCAGCAGTGGGATGAGAGGAGGGGAAGGAGGGGCACTTCTGACTTGCTATGTGTCTACCCTGGCCTGTCACTGCCCTTCCTCTCTCAACCACGACTCTGAAAAGGGAAGCCTGTCCTCTACAGGATGAAGCTGACTGGTTCCCAATTTATTCTGCTGCCCTTATGGTCCAATTACTTTCTTGTCTCCACTCAAGTTTTTAAAGGTCATGTGAAACAGAAGGGAATAAAATGTCTCACAGGTCCTGACCTCTGGGTTTGACTCAGGAGGCACTGGGAAATCTCCTGCTCCCTGAGGGCCTCAGTTTTCTTGGGGGTAACTGTAAGCAAACCCACAAAGGGTATCTTCGGGTCTCCTGAAGAAGTCCTTGGTGGTTGAAGATGAGAATTGGGGCTGGGCTGGGCTTGCTCCTCACTGGGCCTCAAGAACCCCAGCCCCCACCCCTCCACCAGGTTAAATAATTGAGTTACTTTTGGCAATTCTATGAAACTTTTCTACTTTAAATGTAATAGCGCCAATTCTTTAGGTTCTATATGAAACTCCACTGTATTTCTTTGAAATGTTAATATGTAAATTGTGCAACAGAGATAAATTGACAGGGATTTTTCCATATAGGTAAGAAGAATGCTGATGCTGGGAAAGATAGAAAGCAGGAGGAGAAGGGGATGACAGAGGACGAGATGGGTGGATGTCATCACCGACTCGATGGACATGAGTTTGAGCAAGCTCCAGGAGATGGTGAAGGACAGGGCAGCCTGGCGTGCTGCAGTCCATGGGGTCGCAAAGAGTTGGACATGACTGAGCAACCGAACAAAAACAAGAAGAATGCTGGAGAAGGAAGCGGCAACCCACTCCAGTATTTTTGCCTGGGAATATGCCTGGGAAATCCCACGGACAGATGGGCTACAGTCCCTGGGGTCTCGAAGAGTTGGACACAACTGAGCAACTCAGCACAAGAATGCAGTTCCTCATGGCAGTGGACTCTCAGGGGGTGAGAAAAGCATAAGCCTGGTAGATGGACCTCCGCTAAGCTCAGGCCATTGGTGCCACCGTGGCAGTCATGGGCGTCCCGCACTCTGAGAAGCACACGCCTCCGAGGGAGGAGGCAGGAGGAGGTGTACTTCTCTACCTCTGGTTTCAATCACACACGTTTTCAAGTTAAAGGATATAATGACACTGCCTTTCAGACGGCATACCCCCTCCCACTGTCCCTTCCTCTCCACCAGCGCCTGCATCTCCATGCTCAGCTGGAAAGCTCCCGCAAGGTCGATCATCAGGCAGAAGTCACACCTTCTGTCATCTTCTGAGACACCCAGCCTGGTGACCCCACTTCCCTGGACAAGCTCTGGGCTTCCTGCAGTCCCAGCTGGCAATGCCGCCCTTTCTCTCCCATTACTCCCATGGACAAGCTCCGGGCTTCCTGCATTCCTGGCTGGGAATGTCACCCTTTCTCTCCCATAAAAGAGCACGTTGGACTGCAAATGAGTGAGAGGGACAGTATTTTGCTTTTAAAAAAAGTAAGGGTATCATTTGTGAGCTTTAGTTTATGAATGACTTTAATATTAATTGTAGTTATACCTGGTCTTATGCTGCTTATCTTACTTATATGTCTATCTGATCACTACATATAGTACATCTTGGAATCAAGATCGAACCAGTGCCCCCCCAGGTTATTTTCATTCAAGGCCCGGCTCATCATGGCTGGAAACAGTCCTTGTGCTGTTTCAGACCCCTCCTGATGCCCTGATTCCTTTGTCTCAGAATTCCAGGAAGGGGGGCAGGGATGGAGGAAGCGGGGACAGAGGGCCCTAGGCTCAGGGCCCAGGTCCACCTGAACATATATCTGCAACAGCCCTTTTAGAAACCACAGACTGGGCCACTGTCACAGATGGAGGAGGATGGTTTCTTACATGGTTCATTTGGAGGCATCCTGGACAGGGTCATAGTGGGTTACCTGGATGCCCCAGGTTGGCTAATAGTTGGGTACCTCTTTAGAGTGACAGCATTTAAATACTGGTTCACATATACTCAGAAGAGAAGTAGGATGTCTTTTACAGCAGGAGAGGAAAAGGAGACTGCAGTGGGAATTTGATGTCACTTTGTCCAGGGTGGTTCAGCTTTGGCACTAAAGTTCTAAACTCCTCTTAGCAAAACCAAAGTCCACACACACTTAAAAATAGTTCACAAGGTAAGTTTTCTGTTATGTGTACCTTACCACAACTAAATTTAAAAAAAAAATTTTTTTTAAGTCCTGCAATTACTTGTACCCACCCTTCTTAGGAGGCAGTCTATCAGCCATCCACTGTGACCTCAGTGTGACCCCAAGGGGGTGCCACTACCACCCACGTGAGTCCTGCTCATGGGGTTTCTTCCATTTCCTTCCACAGCCGGTGATGCTACAGCAGCCCTTGAGGCCGGGCCCAGGCCCCTGCCCTCCTGCCTGGTTTCCTGTTTTACTTCTGGACCCGGGAAAGTCCTTTCCAATGCCATGGAGCATCCCAGGATTGAATGCCTTCCATTAGAATAAGCATTATGCTCAGTGACCAAGCTGTGTCTTTGGACCCTATGGACTGTAACCCACCAGGCTCCTCTGTCTGTGTGATTTTACAGGTAAGAATACTGGAGTGAGCTGCTATTTCCTTCTCCAGGGATCTTCCCGACCCAGGGATCGAGCCTGCATCTCCTGAGTCTCCTGCATTGGCGGGCAAATTCTTTACCACTGAGTCACCTGGGAAGCCCAGAATAAGCACTGCTTGGGACTAAAGAAGGAAGAGGGCACAATAGAAACTCATTCATTGACTGATTTCACTTTCTTAAAGAAGGTTCTAAACTGATTTGGGGGCTTCCCTGATAACTCAGTTGGTAAAGAATCTGCCTGCTATGTGGGAAACCTGGGTTCTATCCCTCGGTTGGGAAGATCCCCTGAAGAAGAGAAAGGCAACCCACTCCAGTATTCTGACCTGGAGAATTCCATAGACTGTATAGTCCATGGGGTCACAAAGAGTTGGACACAACTGAGCGACTTTCACTTTCACACTGATTTTTAAAAGTTGGACCATGTGTCTGACAGAGATGGAGGGAAGACCTGAAGTAGAAACTATCGTGTGCAAAGACCAGAAAGAGCATGGCATGCTCGGTAATTGGAGAACAGTTTGGTGTAGTTGGTTAGTTGGAAATAGAGTGATTTAAAAAAAAAAAGAATATTGCTCTATTCAACAGAATCTTAAAATGTAAACTCTGTTGGAAAGAATAGCAGAGTAGCTTAGCAAGTTAGTACTTTCCCAGTGGGTGGTGAAATTGGGGGTGGGAAGGTATGGGAGGAAGTGGAGAAGAGAGAAAAGCAGGAAGATAGAAGGGCAGAGGGTGTGGGGTAAACTCCAGAAGGACCACTAGTCAGGCTGAGGCCACTGAAGACCATGAACCTGGGAATAACCACTTTGAGGGTCAAGGAGAAAGGGAATCAGTGACCTAAATGAGGAAAATCTTCCAGTAGTCATCTATGGATGTGAGAGTTGGACCATAAAGAATGCTGAGTGATGAAGAATTGATGCTTTCAAACTGCGGTGCTGCAGAAGACTCTTGAAAGTCCCTTGGACTGCAAGGAGATCAAACCTTTCAATCTTAAAGGATATCAACCCTGAATATTCATTGGAATGATTGACGCTGAAGCTGAAGCTCTAATACTTTGACCACCTGATGCAAAGAGTCCACTTACTGGAAAAGACCCTGATGCTGAGAAAGATTGAGGGCAGGAGGAGAAGGGGGTGACAGGGGATGAGATGGTTGGATGGCATCATCAACTTAAGAGCTTAAGCAAACTCTTGGAGGTAGTGAAGGACAGGGAAGCCTGGCGTGCTGCAGTCCATGAGGTCGCAAAGAAACAGACAGGACTAAGTGACTGAACAACAGCAACAACAAATAAGGAAAATATTAGTCCACATAGTTGAGCAGCCACTTCCCTCAGCAAGACCTGCAGCTTCCAAAACGAGTGCTGCTGAGTCAGCGGTGAGAGACTGGCAAGGTGGCATGGACCAGCCTACTTGTGATGAAAGCAAAACAAAGAAAACAACCATCCCTTTCTTCAGCTAAATGTTTTTATAAGTCCCAGGTTATTTACCCATTGAAGAGTAAACTGTAAGTTACTTCACCCAGATGTTCATCTCAGAAGAGTGAGTTAAGAGATGACATCTAAAAACAAAGTTATCCTAAACACAGCTGAGGCAGGTCTTGAGATGGTGTCCCTACATCTCATTATGTACCTCATCTCTAAGTAACTGTAACAATTCAAAATTGCATTTCTTGGCTAGAATGGCACACAGCAAATGCTCCCCAGAAATCTCATCAGTGGTCTGGTTCAAAAGAAGAATTTGTGATTTCTCTAAAGGGGAGGAACAATGAAAGTGTTGCAGGGAAATGAGAGAGCATCTTTATGTCTTATTCCTGTATGATCTCTTGGTCTCTCCTGCTTCTGCCTTCCAAATTTTGTGCTTTGGGGTCTTTTCTTTAATTTGTTACAGTTCTGTCAATCAATACAAGGCTGAGTTTTGTTTTGTTTTGTTTTCCTGCCAAAATCAAACCACATCTCCAATAGATGGAATGAATGTCTTAATCTACCACTTAGTATATGCAACCAAAGGAAAATTTTACAGTACTTCCCAACGAATTTCATTTTGTCTCCTTCTCTCCCTGTCACCTTCTTGCTTTAATCATCCAGCTGAGCCCACATTCTCTCCCTTGCCTTTGACACAGAGCCCCACAGTGGAAACCTGAGCGGATGCGGCCCAGGCGCCTACCTTGCCGAGGCCTGGGGTGTCCTTCACCTTGCTGACAGCCCTCAGCAGGCAGGGCGGGGCCGGGGGTGGGGACGTCTGGAGAATCCCACTGAAGCTGGTGGCAAAGAGAGGTGGCTCGGCAACAGAAGTGGAAGGCCGATGTTTCTTCTTCTTAGATGAGAGATTTAACTTCTGGGCAGCTCTGGAGGGAAAAAGTCAGAAAAAAGACCATAAAGGAAAACGTATGGCACAATCAGATATGCTAGGGTCACTGCATGGCCTTTCCCTAAGGAAGCCCCTAGTTCTTATTGCCATAAACAGCTCTCTCTCTTCCTCCAAGGGCCAGGTGGTAGCCCCTGATTGCGACCAAGTGAATCCAGTGTTGTGCATGCCATGCTAAATCGCTTCAGTCATGTCCGACTCAGTGTGACCCTATGGACTGCAGCCTGCCAGGCTCCTCTGTCCATGGAATTCTCCAGGCAACAATACTGGAATGGGTTGCCATTTCCTCCTCCAGGGGAAATCTTCCGGACCCAAGGATCAAACCCACGTCTCTTATGTTTGATGCACTGAAAGGCAGGTTCTTTACCACTAGCGCCATGAGTGAACCCAGGGAGCTGCCCGATCCTTTACACGGCAGAGCAATGCCATGACCTCACATGGTTCTGCAGCCTCCATCCACAAAGAACTGCTTATTATCCACGAACACTCAGCTTAAGCATGAACAAAGCTGGCCATCTTTGGGGATAAACAGTACCAATTAGGTTAATCATCTCATAACTCCTGGTATAAACTCAAGTGTGAGAGACCTTATGAGTTTTTTAGAAACTCTAACACATTGTAAAATCCACACTGGTCTAAGAAAGAACCACATGGTGACCGTTCGAGGTATGCTGTGGATGTGATTGTGGAAGAAAAACACAGACCCCAGTGCAGTGGGGAAATATAAATCAAGCTGTTAAAGAAACATAACACCTAATCAGAATAAACTGCAGCCAAGGTGTAGGGTCCTGAGACTAGGGGTAGCTCATGAGGAAAGCAGGCTTTTGTGCAGGGTGCTCTTTCACTACAAAATGCAATTCATGAGCAAGAGCAAGGGGTGACAGAGTCAGAACTCACAAAGGTGGCAGAGGACACAAACGAAAAGATGGGAGGGAGGGTGCTGCCGTCATTAATAACATTTGTTGTTCTCATCACATCTTCCCTCATTAGAATGTCCTAAAACACCTGAAATATGACAACCTTATCATAGAGAAGAGGGGAAAATAAGGCAAAGGCACAGACTATAACATACTCACTTCTGGATTCATTCTTGGTATTTTCACACTATATTCTTGTTCTAAGAATTCCAGTTTCCTTACCAAAGGTGAAGAAACATTTTAGCTGCAGCTCAAAACAAATGGGCTACTGTGTATTTATTCTACACATCAAAACCTTATAATCCATCCCATGTTTTTACTGACTGCATAACAGGTCACAAGCAAAGTAGCTCAAAAAGATTAAATCAGCATTGTTTCCACCCCTCCCCACTTCCCACCACCTTCTATCTTCATGTACAAATCTTAAGCTCTGGACTGGTTAATTTTAATTTTGTATCAGTAACTGTCATGCTTTTGACAAATCCCCTGAGCTACAAAATGGCCACTGCACAAATACAGCAAATAGAATTACCACTTCAAAGCTTAATTTTTTTCTTAGCTGTAAAACTGAACATCTTTTTCACAAGAGTGATTTACAGAGGAATAACAGATTTTGATGGAATGACACCCTAACAATCCCAATGCCAAACTTAGGGACCTCTATAGTGAATTCATGTAAGATGATGAAAAATGAAGGGCACTAGAAAGAATTTCTACAGTGCCTTCCCCAATCAGCAAAAAAAAAAACCAAAAACCTAGGAATAATTTTTTCTCATGCTTTCATTGCCACTCTTTCTGATACTGCCCCTCTAAAACTAAAGGTGAAGTGGGATTCTTCTGGTGCATCTCTTGGTAGTTTTCATTACTTTTTCTCCTTGAACAAACAATGACGCATCCAGAGGTGGTGTGTGTGACCATCACATTCTACCGACAGCAACCTCTTACTGCGTTCAAGTCAGGGTGCCTACAGACATAGAAGCATTAGGAAGAAGGGTGAAGATGACAATCTGCTAGGAACTGAATGGATCATGTGCTTATCTATTCACATTAGGATTCTTTCAGATGGTGGTAAAAGGACCAAGGAGTTGCTGTGGTTCACACTTCCCCACCAGTTGGGGGTTCCTGGTCCAAAAGTGGAGACAGAGAGAAGGGAGTGACCCTGAAAGGCAGCTCAGAAGAGATGCTGGCTTTTTGTCATTTCTCTTATCTGTACTACCCATGCGCGTTTACTCCCTCCACACAGGCCCTGCAGAGGAGGAAAGAGAGGGTCCTTGAAATTAAAGTGTATGAAGCGCATTCCCAAGGAGTCAAGGTTTCATTCCTCTGTCTCTCTCCTGATATTAATATAATGTTTGGGATTTGATATTAATATAATATCAAAATTTTACTCTATTACTAGATCAATCCCAACAGCATACAAACATGTTATTATTTCTCCTGTCTTCAGAAATAAAACACAGGTCTTTCTCTTCATTCTTCTTACCCAGCCAGCTACCGTTCTGTTTCCTTGCTCATCTTTGCAGCAAAATTCATGGAAAGTGTTGTCTACACTTGGTTTTCTCCAGTTCACCTCCCCCCATTGCCTATAAGCTCATCCCAACCAGACATCCATCCCATATCTCCTCTGACACAGCTCTTGTCAATGCCACAAATGACCTCATGATTGTTAAATGTCATGGTCCTCAGCCCCATTTTACTTGACCTATCAGAGGTCCTTCTGATATCCTACTCAGGCCAATATTTTGAATCTCAGCAAACTTTGTGAAGTAGATACTAATAGTACTCCCATTTAACAGACAAATAAATGAGGCTTAAAGAATTAAATCCAAAGTCCTTTGAGTATCTGACTTTATTTGAACATCTAGCTTCTTCAGATACTATGTAGGTGATAGGTAAGTTACTTAAATTCTGATAATGTTTTTGTAAAGGGTCCAGCATAGCACCCTAGCATATAGTTGGTACTTAGTAATATCATCACCATCGTTATTACACATATTATTATCAAGCCTCGGTTCTGCATAGTAAGACAGAACAAAAAAATTATCTATCTTTTATAGACATTTATGAAAATTAAATAAGAGTGCAGGTGAAGGGTTTAGTATACAGGAAGTACTTAATATATGGTACTTTGAAGGAATATAATAATAAACAGTGGAACTGACCCTGAGCCTAGGTCTCTGTTCCCCATATTGCATCAGATCATCTCTGAACAGGTAGGGAAATGTAAGGGCATTTGTGGGGTATAAGTAAAGGGGGCATCTTTCTAAAAATCGGACTGATGGATCTGCTTCTTGAAATAGCTTTTATCATCGAAAGTGTCCAAGTAGTGGCTAGAAAGCCATTTACAGGGAATACCAGGGAGATGAAAGCAGGCACTGGGAACATGGTATGATTTCCAAAATTTCTTCCGATGCAAAGACACTGAAATGATCCCTGAAATCTCTATTCCATTCAGGGAAGCCTCTGCTGGCTTCAATGCAGGAAATTATTTGGAGAATACATAAAAACTACTTTCTTCTTAAAACACACACATATATGAAATTTCAAGGGGGAAACTTTGCTCACATCACAGTTACCAAAAAAAAATACAAAACCTAAAACATATATATGAAATAAACAGAAGTATTCTAGAGCTCAGAAATCACAGTTTAGAGCCATATATTGCATAAGAACATTTTAATTTCGGCATCATCCTAACCAGCTATTTGATCTCTATTTTATATGTTTCAATTTCTTGAAAGCCAGTAACTTCTGCTCTTTTTACAGAGCACTTCAATGACACACAGACAGGTCCAGTTTGAGGGACAGAAATCATTCGTATACAGTTGTATTATTCAGTGACACAAAGGAGCAGCAGTCATGAAAGAATTGAAAAGGTAAAGACATTTTGGCTTGCAGTTATTTTGTGTAATTAATGTCTCACAAGTTCTCTTTTTTTTTTTTGTAGGGAGAGGAACAGATGAGTATGCTGTTTGATAAGATTTTAAATAACAAAAAGTTAACCTAAAAACTGTGAGAAGTAATATTTACTTGACTCATTCTTGGCATGGACTATATCACATATTTCCTACAGCTTTTCAGCCCTGCACACATCTTTAAATATCCCTGGGCTTCACTTAATTCTCTGAACCTTATTTCAATTAAAAAAAAAAAAGGCGGCCTCTCTAGCAGGATGAAATTAATACTCACTGAACAGCTATAAAGAAAGTGACGCCACACTAAGCATCATCAGTCTGTGAGGAGAGGAGCAATAATGTGAACTTGGCGAGAATTTAAACCTAGCGAGCTCAGTTCTTCCCTCTGGGCTCTACCCTTTCTCTCCATCCTCACTCGTCTCACACAGGAGACAATTACCCTAACATATCAGTGTGATACCATCTGAATTCAGGAATCAGTTTAGAACTGAGATGACCTTCAAAGGAGATGGTTCCTTGTTCCCCCTGGCCAGATCCACCCAGAGCAAAAAGAAAAGAGGTAAATAATTATCTAGTAAATTTAATTGGTTTAGGAGGAGAGCTTTAGATCTTAGTTGTACAGATCAGAGGGGGAACTTATGGGGTATCTTTTTCTTTTTCTGCATTTATGTGATAGACTATTTGACCTTGGATTTTCAGAATTACGGACTGTTTAAATGGGAAACCTTTCATTCTAAACGCATCCCATGAGAATTAAGTTGGGGTCCCTTAGTGTCTAGAGTTTACTAAAATATTGCTCTAACAATACTGTAAGAATTGGTAGCTTCATGACGAATAGAACTCTCCTTAGATAATATCAAGCAGGAATATCAGGTAGTACAGTTGTTTTTTTAAGGATTCTTCATCCTTTAAAAAATTCTAAGTACCGTGTTTGCTAACAACACTCTGAGAGCATTTCATCCTGTCTGAAGGAGGTGTTCAACAGTGAGATGATCATATGAGTGGGTGAAAGCTTCATGAAAATTAAGAGGTCATTCAAGCTCTACTAAATTGAACCCAAGCAATTGACTGGTGAGACATCAACTGAAAAATTGCTCAAGAGGAGGGCAGGGTGAGGCCGTTAGAACTGCCCCATCTGTTGCCCAGAA